TCTTCTGTTGGCTATTATTTTGTCAATATGTTATTTTTCCATATATTGTTTTTGATCTGCAACCTGCCCACTGAGGATAACTATCTTGTTTTTTTCTCCAAATAAGTAGGAGCATTCATCCAGGAGACACCAAATCCTGCGTCAGCCTCAGGCACTACACGTTCCTGCAAGCTGGGAGAAATTATTTCACCTCTTCCCTCTGTTTCTTTGTCTCCTCTGTGCTGGCGCCAGGACAATGGCTGGGGGAAACCACTCGAGTGTGACCGAGTTTGTCCTCTTGGGCTTCACCGACCTGCAGGAGCTGCTCTTCGTGATTTTTTCACTCATCTACATCACCACGCTGGTGGAGAACCTGGGGATGATTGTCCTCATTAGGATCAACCCTCAGCTTCACGTGCCCATGTACTTCCTCAGCCACCTCTCTTTCCTGGACGTCTGCTATTCTTCACCCATCATGCCGAAGCTCCTGTCAGGTCTCCTTGCAGAGAGAAATGTCATTTCTTTCAAGGGCTGCATCACACAATTTTTCTTCTTTGCAGTACTTGGCACCACGGAAGCCGTCCTTCTGACCATCATGGCATACGATCGCTACGTGGCCATCCGTGAGCCCCTGCACTACTTGGCTGCCATGTCCCATGGGGTCTGTGTCCAGCTGGTGGTGGGCTCCTATGCTGCCGGGAGCCTGAACGCCCTCGTGCACACCAGCGCTCTCCTCCGACTCTCTTTCTGTGGCCCGAACCTTGTCAACCATTTCTACTGTGAAATCCCACCGCTCCTGCTACTCTCGTGCTCCGACACCTGGCTCAATGAGATGGTGATGGCCGCGTGCATTGGTTTCATCATAACAACCTCAGTCTTGGCCATCGTTGCGTCCTACACCTGTATCCTCCTCACCATCTGGAGCATCTGCTCTGCAGAGGGCAGGCACAAAGCCTTCTCCACCTGCACCTCCCACCTCATGGCTGTCGTCCTCTTCTACGGCTCTGCGGCTTTCTTTTATTTCCATCCCTTTTCCAGACACACAGAAAATCAAGGGAAAACAGCCTCCGTCTTCTACACCGTAGTGACCCCCATGCTCAACCCTTTCATCTACAGCCTGAGGAACGAGGAGGTGAGGAGCACCCTCAGAAGAGCTACGAACCAGCTCCTCTCCTGCGTGTATTCCCACAGGTCCCACTCTAACCAAACCGAAGCAGATATCACCTGCCGCAGTGGAGTCAGCAGAAGAAACAAGGCTGACACCTGACAGAAGAAGGGCACCGTACATTTCTGTGCATCTGGTGAGATGTACACGCTCTACCTCGTGCTGAACACCGCAGAGTTTGAATTACGAATTAATTCCATGTTGGGGTCCCTTAATTACCTGTAATTACAATGTCTGAAAGAAGGAAAGAATGCAGAAAAGAGAGACAATCCGAAAAACACGTACATTGTCAGTGAAACTTTGGAGGTAAATGAATTTATAAGCCGCACTAGAACATGGACAGCTGATACTTTTTACCAAAGAGGATTTACTCAATGTTACAACAATATTAAATTCTGTGGCCTGAGAGAGGTGGCTCAGAGCAGAAGGGGACAAGCTAAATAAAGACTATATGTTGGAGAGGGACAATGTCTTTCATAACTTTGTTTTCAAAGATTTGTAAGTAGTTGCCTAAGGTTTTGCTTTAGTACAATAATCCTGATCTCCAAGCGTAGTCTTTACGGGAAATAGCACATCCCCATGCTTCACACAGATTGCACGCAGACCGCCTGTGCTGGCATCTTGCCTTCCTGGCTGGGTCTCCCCCATGGAAAGCTACCAGCCTGGAGCCACCATGCTGGCGTGCTCCTTTGCGGAGGAGCGGGGTGGAGTTTTATCCCCTGTGACAAGGAGTCGCTCAACTTGGCCAGGAACAGCCTTTCAAGACATTGTCTGAGCAGTCTTGGCTTTTCCCAGGATGTCATCTGATGTTGACCACGCAGAAAGCCTCCATGCTTCTGGCCATCTGTTTTATTCAGATGTGCCCGACTCGTTTGATGGCTCCAAGACCCTCAACATTGGCCAAAGCTCCCCCACCACCTCCTCTCCTACTTATGTGTCTCCATCCAGGCAAAGTTTATTTTCCGTTCCAGCTGCAGCTTATTAATAATTTCTGCTTCCAGGTTCCAGGGGTTGAGTCATCTCGGTCCAGGAGTCATCCTATCTAATTGTAGGCTTTCACATCTGAATTAGTCACCATCGGTTCCCCTTATGGAGACAAGTATGCGTCTGGGGGCTTTGATTCATCTGAGCTATTTTAAACCCCCACATCAGGGTGAGATGAATTTTTCTGGAAAAAACGCCTGGTTTTCTCCACTTGCTGCTCGGCAGCGAAGGGTGACGGACTGGCACGGCTACATGGCAAATGTGGATTTTGTACAGAGCGGTCACACTCAGGGCATAGTCTGAAGAGTTAATTTAAGCATAAATTAACTAAATTTACATAAATTAACTAATTAACAAATTAATTAGATCAAGAATATTCTATTCTGTAAGGGGGAAGCTCACCATGCTGACGTTTTGGAGTCCTTCAAAACCCCCCCTCAAAAGTGAGAAGGTGAAGCTAGCTTTTAGCCAATAATTCATAATTCAGCCGAGCACGGTGCTCAGCATCCAGAGAACGCTTTCTGGAAAGAACAGGAAAGCAAAAGGGATGAAGGTAGTGTCAGAGCTACGCTTCAGCTTTGACATAAAGGTCACTAATACCAGATATTAACTTCCTGAAGAAAGGTTTCTATTTTCCGTGGACGGATAGGAAATAATTCCCCAGACCTGACTGCAGCTACCAGTACTGTTTCGTTCTTTTAAGAGCAATAAAAGAGAAACTTTTCTCCATAACCTGGCTGTGACTCTCACGGATGCCTGCATCCAACTCTCCGGGTTTTTAAACAACAGGATATCCCAGGTAATGTTAGAACAAATTGCAGCAGCAGGGTTCCTGAGTAGTTTTCCTTTCCTCCCCAGTAACATTTGCAACACTTCTCCAAATCCCGAGCTGTCTCCTAATCTTTGAATCTCTATTTCTTACACCAGTTCTTTTTAATTCTCTGTGATTCAAAGAGATAAATTATATATTCCAAGTGATAAATTTATATACATATTGAAAATTCTTTATGTATATATAAAGAAATGGGGAAAAAACCACTCAAGCTTCCATTTAACTTGCTGAAACAAATTGTGTTTATTTATCAGTGCATGTCTCCTCCTTAAGGAGCTGTTTCCAAAGTCAAAATTCCCAAGAGAAATTTCCGGCATGACACACCCGGGAGGGCAGCGGCAAACCCCTCGGTCTTTTAATTAGAGAGTCCTATAAACAGCGGCTTTTCTTGGTCAAGTATTGATGCTCTTCGTACTGGCGCGAGTGCTTTTAACACCAACACTGGGAGAAAGTGGGGCTTGTTTCTCCCATAAAGTTTTGGTCTAGGAGACAAGAAGTCTCTGATAAACCAAAAAGGGCCCCGAGATGTGAGCAGACAGGTGAGTTTTAGTCTAAATAACGCAGCCAAGGGTTGATCTGTTGCAAGGGGAGGACTTGAGGCAGGCGCCTGTTTTCACACAAAATAGACGCCCAAGGTCGGGATAGCTCATGCGAAACCCAGGTGTTTATAAGTTGCTTTTCCAAACTTAAGGCAGCCAGAAGCTCAGGCTATGAGTAAAGCCCCCCGAGACACGCAGGCACTGCCAGAGGTCAGCAGCCCCTCAATCTCAGCTGATGATTTTAATCAAGATTACTGGGATTCGTAATTATTGTCCAGGGGCTGGAGAGGGCAGCAGCTTGGACAACCCGATGAAGTGGCTCTGCAAAGCATCGGTGGCCTGCGGCACGTCACCGCGCTGGCAAAGACCCCTTGCCCTCCTCGAGTTCTGCTTTGTCCGGGGCCGTTTGCACGAAGCAGAGGGAGGGCTGGCGGTGCCTGGTCTGCTATTTGCTATACCGTGAAGAACACGGCAGAGAAGCACTACCTGGGTTATTTGGAAAGCTTCAGATCGTTTGAGAGGGGTGTGAAAGTTTCTGCAACTGACTTAATGTGGGAAGGAAAGACAAATATTTGACTAAATCCAGATTTAAGGGAGCCTCACGTATAAGTCAAGGTAGGACACGTGTGTTGAACTTTCCTCATGCAGAAGGGTCCTTTCCGATGGTATCGTTTGGTATCTTGTTTAACACTTCGAAACCCCGCAGTGAGCAATTTCTGTGACCCTTCCTAACTTCTGTTTTAAGAGGACACGAGCTTAATTTTCTCTCTCTTTTTTTTTTTTTTTTTTAACTGCATTATCAGCACCTTACCCCCCCAGTTCATAATGGCACCGTAGCGCTGTTGGGGCTTCCACCGGTACCAGCCTTTTAAAATTCTTTCCGCTGTCTTTCTCAAGGCGGTGGCATCACAAGGATGATGTGGGTGTCATCCACATCACCATACTGTGGATTACACTAAACCTCCTGTTTCAAACTTCATTTCAGAGTTTCATAGGAAGGAAGGGAAGAAATTAGAGGTTTATGTCAGCTTGTTCTGACTCTCCTAAAGGAAATTATTTAAGAAATGTCTTGATCTCTCACCAGTGCTTTCTCTCTTTCGATCTTCTGAAACAAGGGATTTTTTGTTTTGTTTGGTTTGGTTTTGTTTTGTTTTAATTTTTAATTTTGTTTGGTTTTGTTTTTAAATGCACACTGATTTCTAATGTCAGAATAAATTGCTGTGGTTACCTCTTTGGATCTGATGAGTAACAAACTTCTTAACTTCTTCAGGAGGTAGAATAAGCCTTCCAATTTGCAAAGTGACTTTATCAAACCAAATGAGTGGTGACTAGACCAGAATAAACCCGTTAGAAATAAATTCAGTCATGCACTTTGTTTACTTTACAGTGTATTTTGAGACAAACACTGAATATGTTGTTCAACGGTTCCTGCCTCTGAAATTTGTATTTCCTGATAAAAATAAAAGCATCTTTAACATTTGTTTGTGAGGAGAACAGGAACATGCTGACTCTGTGTTTCTCTGCATCTCTGCTTTCCTGCAGCAACCGTGTTACGATGGTGGCCAAAGGAAATCACACCCCCAGTGCTGAATTTGTTCTCTCGGGGTTCTCAGAGCAGGGGGATGTCCAGGCTGTCCTCTTCATGGTCTTCTTGGTGTTCTACGTGATCACTCTGCTGGGGAATCTGGGGGTGCTCGTGTTAATCAGGCTGGATGCCCAGCTTCACACCCCCATGTACTTCTTCCTGAGCAGCCTGTCCTTCCTAGACATCTGCTATTCCTCCTCAATCACCCCCAGGCTGCTCTCAGATCTCCTATCAGAAAGGAAGGTCATTTCTTACTCTGCGTGCCTCACACAACTTTATTTCTATGCGGTCTTTGCCACCACCGAGTGCTACCTCTTGGCCGTGATGGCGTATGACCGCTACGTGGCCATCTGCAGCCCACTGCTCTATGCCATCTCCATGTCCAGCAGAGTTTGTGCACTGCTGGTAGCTGGCTCGTACCTCGCTGGGATCGTGAATGCCACTATCCACACGGGGTTTGCACTTCGGCTGTCCTTCTGTGGTCCCAACATCATCAACCACTTTTACTGTGAGGGCCCCCCGCTTTTTGCCATCTCTTGCACAGACCCCACTGTCAATGAGATTATGATGTTCATTGTGGTGGGCTTCAACCTGTTTGTCACCAACCTGACCATTCTTATCTCCTACACCTACATCCTGGCCACCATCTTGAGGATGCGCTCGGCCGCGGGCAAACACAAAGCCTTCTCCACGTGCGCGTCCCACCTGACCGCCGTGATCCTCTTCTACGCATCTGCTGCGTCCATGTACTCACGACCCAGTTCCAGGCACTCCCAGGACCTCGACAAAGTGGCCTCTGTGTTTTACACTGTGGTGACCCCCATGCTGAACCCCCTCATCTACAGCCTGAGGAACAAGGAGGTGAAGAATGCGCTGGAGAGAGTGATGGAGAGGAAACGTTCATCTGAAAAATAGTTTTCCCTGGTGCGTCAGAGGAATTGGGAGGTCTTCTCAGAAACCTTTATGCTTTCCAGTTCTGTACTGCTATGGTATAAAAGAAGCAGTGCTCTCCTGTGAGCTACTGGGGACAAATGTACTGGGAAACCTCTGCCTTGTTCCTAAATACTGGGTCGTTAACTCCTCTTGGATTAGGCCATTCGCTGACCTGTCTCAGGGACGCATTAGCTACTTTTGTTAGTGTTTACAGCCTGATATTATTTTCACTTCAAGAATTTAAGCCCTTCTGACCCTTTGTAGTTTGAGAATGCATTACCACTGTTGTCTTGAGCAACGACAACAAATAACACCTATTGCTATTGACGATGAGGACCAGAGCTCTCTTCATATCAAATAATGGGCACATTTCTGGTGAACACAAGACAGGTAATTTAGTGCTCCCAGTACTAACCATAGACACTGGGCCTCATAACAACTGTTCACTGCAACAAGGCTCGCCAGGCCTTCCCTGCAACTTATATTAGCTCAACTGTAGCTGTATTTTCAAATTTATTTGAGAAACTTCTGCAGTGCCTGCAACTTGCTCAAGAACCAGAGAGCTGTCATCTGGCATCTCCCAGGTAAAATTACCCCCTAGTCAGGTGCCTGCTCCCTATCCTGGCATTTTGATCTTATTTTGGTTATATTATTGCTAACTGCTTTTGCTTAGTTTTGAGCAATTGTATGATTTCCTCTCTAAAATAAATCATGAGATACAGGGGAATGATTGACAAACTTTGGCAACTGTAGTGTAGCTAAGCCCATAGGCCAATGGGAGAGAAAAGGGTGCTGGCCAGGAACAAATGTGGGGTAGAAACATTTAGAAGTGATCCCAAGCAGACCCAAGACTGTCATGGAAGAAGCTCCCACCACAACCAGTGCTCCCACCAAGCACCACACCATAGCTCTTCGGCAAGGAGCTCAGGGCGCTGCTGGGTCCCTGCATCATCCCACCAAGGAAGAAAGACCTCAGTCTGCAGGTGGGAATTTAATCTCAGGGATGAGGGGCAGGTACTTTAATCAGAGAAACCTTGAGGAGCATTGCTCTCCATCCATCCAGGCCCACACGGTTGTCCTTAATAGAGTCAGAGGCCACACACTGACCCTCCAACTCATCGGCTTTGGGGCCTGGGCTAGCTCTGACAAGCAAGGCAGCTGTAGAAGTGCACTTTGTTGTTAACAAGGAAGAAAGTTTCTTGTTAGCCCCCGCTAATTAGTCTCTCATGGCTTGTTAAGAACAATGAGGTAAGTTGACTACAAGCCCGCTGAGAAGCTTTCATGGTGATTAGGAAACTTTCTTGGTAAACCCCAGAAGGTCTTGTTAAGCTGATGACTCTTGGAGGGGTGGTTGGTCCCCAAGGATGACTTCTTGCTCTGGGAAGGGGAGCAGCATCACTTGTGAGGGAAATAGCTGTAACCACCTGTATGGCGAGACTGGAGCTCAGGCCTGCTGGAGGGCCTGCTGGAGGGCTTTCTGTGCCAGTACAAGCTTGGCTGTACACTCATTAAAGAGAGAGACATCCTGGTCTTCACGATGTGTGCAGATAATGTCGTTCTCTTGGTTCTCACTAACGCGGTGATTTGTCCCTGCCTGCCTTTGACCCCCTAGCAGAGGGAGCCGGGGAAGCTCATTGCATCTCTCCTCACCTTTGGACCTCCTCAAGGACACCTCACACCTTCAATTTCTTGACATTAATTGCCTTGGGATAGATTTGCTTTTGTCTTTTTTAATTCTTAAACTGCGAGGCAAGTTGAAGTACACTACATACATCCTCCATGTCTGACTGATTTTCATAAATGTGATTTTCCTACCAGTACGAATTTGGGACTTAAGAATAAGCACAGGAATGGGCTCACCTGGCTCTCAAATTCTAAAAATTCATTGTCTAATTATGAGACAATTAGCCAGGTCCCCTCTAAAATATGTGGGAATAAGAATGTTTGTCACATCCTAGGACAGATGGTTAAGATGGATGTGGTGCAACCGGAGCAGGTCTGAACATCAAAAGGACTGACCTGCTGTCTGCGGTATGCGTGTTTCAGAACAGTTTCCTCTGGATTAAATTTATTCTGGTCCGAGGATCTGAACACCTGCTGGAGGTGGAAGTGCATTAGGTGCCCCCCTCAAGCCCATTTTCAGTTTGTTTTCATCCAAAAGGAACCCAGCTCATGCAGCCCGACCCCCGCCTGCGATGCGAACGAAAACACGGCGAGGGGAGAAAGCTGGGAGATCTTCAGACTTAAACTCTTTAAACTGCACTCTTTGTCTGAACAAAACCGAGAAAAATAGAAACACATCTTTACTGATCACAAATGGAGACAAGGAACTCTGACTTAATCACTCAACTTTTATTTATCTAAATTTGAAGGAGATGAATCTACTTCGGTCCACGTAATCCCTCCTCCTAAAAGT